ACGACCATTGACACTTTGCACAAGGACGGCAAGACACAAGGTCATTGTTAAAGAGGCTGGCTGTTCACAGAGCTCTGTGTCCAAGCACATTAATAAAGAGGTGAAGGGAAGGAAACGATGTGGTAGAAAAAAGTGTATAAGCAATAAGGATAACTGCTGTTAGGCCAATTTAATATCCTTTCAATACTTTTTAAATAAATATGCCACACAGGAGAGGTAGATATATTTTTTTAAATCCCAGGTTTAATCTTGCAAGATGAAGCAGAGGTGAAATACAGGCCAAAATGTTTACATGTTGCTCCGTCTGAAGTCTGCTCACTGAGAGCCTAAGAGTGTCTTTTATAATGGTTATCAGACAAAGGCAAGGTCAGATGTCTCTTGCAGCCTCCTTTCTTGTTTATTCAAGTGAAAGGCTCCATATTTATGCAACACTGATCCAGACAAAAACAACTCTTTAACAAACACAAATGGTAATAGGAGTTATAACATTTGATTTTAGTAAGTGAAAAAAAAATGTGACCTTTCACATCTCCATCACCGCACCCTGGAGAGGATTGTGAAACAAAACTCCAAAATGGGGGGGAGATTCACAAAGAGTGGACTGCAGCTGGAGTCAGTGCTTCAAGAACCACCACGCACAGAAGTATGCAAGACATGGGTTTCAGCTGTCACATTCCTTGTGTCAAGCCACTCTTGAACAAGAGACCGCGTCAGAAGCGTCTTGCCTGGAACTGCTGCTGAGTGGTCCAAAGTTATGTTCTCTGATGAAAGTAAATTTTACATTTCCTTTGGAAATTAAGGTCCCAGAGTCTGAAGGAAGAGAGGAGAGGCACAGAATCCATGTTGCTTGAGGTCCAATGTCAAGTTTCCACAGTCAGTGATGGTTTGGGAGGCCATGTCATGTTGGTTCACTGTGTTTTCTGAGGTCCAAGGTCAACACAGCATTTACCAGGAAGTTTTAGAACACTTAATGCTTCCTGCTGCTGACCAACTTTATGGAGATGCAGATTTCATTTTCCAACAGGACTTGGCACCTGCACACAGTGCCAAACCTACCAGTACCTGGTT